TCGCGTAAATTCCGTGCTCGCGTAAATGATTGAAATTAAAACTAGAATTGTTTTCAATTATCGTTAATTCGTCACATTTTAATCAATGAAGACCCGACCTATTTTATTTAATGGTAATCTTTTCTTTGGTTTTAATTGTTTTTAATAGTTATATAAATTTAAATTATTTATCAGTTGCATTATTACACTGTTTACGTTCATCATTAAAATTTTATTTTTATTTTCTCATTCGCCTAGATGCGTTCGGAAAAATATTTAAGCTAAATAAGAAAAAAAATTAATTTTTTTCCCGACCAATGGTTGGTTGTTCGCTAAACAATATTAGAAAATGGTTCTTAATTTCAAATCTTTGTACAGCCTGTATAAATACGAATTACAATGAAAATAAAGGTGATGCTTAATAATCTTAAAAATGATTTGCTGTTTCTATTGCATACTATTATATAATTATTATAACTTTATTTTGGAAACGACGCTTTTAAAACAGCGGACATGCTCTCGCAGTGTGTTTATAAAAGTAACATACTGTACAGCCATAATACAATATTAAAATAGAGGCGAGACTTTTAATACAATAAAATGTACGTTACATAATTACACAAGTTGAATATATCACAGATCCTGTATATCATTTAACACTTACAATTTATAACATTTACAGCAAAGCACAGTTTATATGTTGCGGCCAACTGACCTATACTATTTTAATATCTATAAATAATAATAATCAAATTAATAACATAAGATTTGTATAGGGCTCGCTCATATTCAAATTTAAAGAGCAACAATCTATATACCCTAGACGGATTTAAATTACATTTTGATATACGTATTTAATTAATTTTTGCTGGTCGTCACATATCATTTTTTTGCAAAAATAATAGGAGCTACTCAAGGATTGCCTAATTAAAGAATGCTTGCCATCGAGGGGCTCTCTCGGTCTATTGGAAAGGATTAAAGAACTGCTTAAAAATAGTAAATTATTACAGTATTATTTTATACAATAATATGAAATTGGATATAAAGTAGTGAAATCATAAAAAAAAAATCTATAAATAGTTTCATGAAATTCAACTGCTAAAAAGATTAAATGAAATTAAATTATACTGGAGGCCGCTAACTATATTACACAATATTATACACAGGAACGCACATCACGTTAGACCATAGAGCTATTAAACAACTAGAGTGCTGACAAGATGGCGAAGCAATTCAGAATTATGTATGTGTACTATCCAAGGTGGCCGTCGTAGTAAAGCGCCACCTTCAGGCTTAATTATACATATTATTACCATAAATAAGCCCTCTGACTGACTAATATTTCATTAATGATAATGAATAATGGTAATAACACATTATTAACAATTCGTAGCCAAAACGAGGCCAAGTGGAACATCTTATTCAAAAATAAAGTACCAAAGAATGAAAATTAAAATCGTGTACATTACACCAATACACCGCAACGCTCGAGTTTCAAACATACGGTTAACTAGCTGTACTGAACTTTCTGGGTAGTGCGCATTGAGAAAAGAAGGTGCTCTCCATTTCGTCATGTTCAATTTTTTGGTCAACTATGCCTGCTGAAAATTTGATGGCGGGGAACACATGGGACTTCAAAGGCATAGCGCAAACGTTCTTTACGCGCTGCGGCAACTTTGATCTTGGTTCATTTGCATAGTGCTGCGTGCGCGTAGCTTTGCCGAGTGATCTCCTAAACAACATAGGTTTTAACACCAAGATTTACGCGTAACAAATAGAAGCGTCGGTCAAGGTTCAAAAGTTTCCAATTTAGCAAGAGGGCGTCATTCATGCGCTATTATACCAAAGAGAAAAAGTAATCAGTTTTGGAAGAGGGCGTCCTATCTGTTGCCATGGATCTGAGATGGTTCCTGTTCTGCTGTTCACAGTACGGTATGGTCATAGCGGTCAAAGGTCAAAAGTTTCCAATTTAGCAAGAGGGCGCCATTCATGCCTTATTACAGAATTTGCACGCGTAGATCGCGGAGAACGCTATCTTGTGTTTATAAGATCTTTGTATGACACTTAGAGCCTTCAAACTGCCAAAATTGTGGGTTTTTTTTTTTTTGGTGGCCATTTTGAATATTTTATAAAATTTTGCATTTTCACGATAAAGATGTACGTTATTTTATTTTAATAATGTTTTACTGGATTCCTTGAACCAAAGAACATAGGTATTGACCCAAAGATCATGGTAATGTGAACACTTAGAGCACTTAAACTGCAAAAATTTTGTTTTTTGGCGGCCATTTTGAATTTTACAATTTTCGGTGGGAACGGTTGGAGTGACATCGTGGTTCCCGCAATTTGTGGAATCGGATAATCAAGAATCCCCTTGGACAGAGTTTCATGCTTCTTTCCAGAAGTGCACGTCTTCACCAAAAAAATATCACATATCCGCCCCACTACTGGAGAAAAGGCAGAAAGAGGAAGAGCATTCTTAATTGACACGCACCGTCGGCGATGTTCGCGCTGAGTTTGCGCAGTGTTCACGCATATGGCACGAACATTGATACGTGCCGAATTTTTGAACATTTTAAAATTCTCTCTACGACATGGCGCGCACCCTTCGCGTACTCCTCACGCTCGTTGACGAAGTACTTTAATCATTGGCACGCCGAAGTGCGCACCAGTGCGGGAACGAAAATCGTGCAAGTGTCAGGGTGGCATGGCTGGGGATTAAATTTTTCAAGAAATTGTCTAACGGCAATAAGTCCTTCGTCATGGGGAATATTGGTGTAGAGGGCGGTAACATCCATGGTAACAAGAATAGAATTATCGGGGAAGGCCGGGAAAATGATTGAGTTTACGAAGGAAATCAGTGGTGTCATGGATATAACTAGGAGTATTACAACGAAGAGGATTAGTGAGACTGTTCATCCTGAAAACGAATTCAGCAGTAGTACCTTTTCCTAAAACAATAGGTCTACCGGAAGGGGGGTGATAAGAGATTTGTCTAGGTCGAATGTAAGATACGATCCAACTCGGTCACAAGTCAACTCGGCCACAGTCAACTCGGCCACAAGTCAACTCGGCCACAAAAATTTCGGCTACAGTCAACTCGGCCACAAGTCAACTCGGCCACAAATCAACTCGGCCACAAGTCATTTACTGGTACTACACTTAGGAGTAATTCATCAAGTATAAAATACTAATTCTTTAATTATCACTTTAATTATATGTTATTATTATTGCTGTTATTATCCTGGTCATTGTTGTTATTATTATTGTTGTTTTTATTACCGTTAGTTTTAATATTAATTATTAGTCTTAGCATTAACATTATGTATTGTTTAAATTTTTGCTGATATTATTATTGTTACCATATAAATAATAAATAATTCTAGATAATCGATTTTTTAAATTATATTATTATTATTATTATTATTATCATTATATATTAGTCTTAGTATTATTATTTTAATAGTAATTTTAAAAATATTGTTATTGATGTTTTATTGGTATTTTTCTCATTATTATTATTATTATTATTATTGTTGTTGTTGGTGTTGTTGTTGTCACCTTTATTATCGATATTATTACCCTATTATTACTAAGTAGGCCTAGTATTATAAGTATCATTATTATTATTATTATTATTATTATTATTATTACTAATTAGTATTACTATTATTATAAAAATAAACATTATCTTTAATTTATTGTTGCTGTTGTTATTGCTGTTATCACCTTCAATATCGTTATTATCACTAATTAGTATTATCAAAATATATATTTAAATATCGTTATTAATACATAATATTATTATTAATATAAGTATATTTAAAATAAATATTACTATAAATATTGTTGTTATCACCTTTATTATCGTTATTATGACTAATTAGTATTAATAAAGTAAATATTAAAAAATGAAGTGTCACCGACATGTCACCGGTGATTCACGTCATTGGATGCATCCTTGTCACTGACGGGTTTCAAACATAGCTCCCAATGTTCGATCAAATATGAAGTACTGAAGCGAAATGTCTGTCACTCAATACCAATTGTTCCTATTGTGGATAATTGATACTAGATGCTATATGCCCCACCTAATTTTAACGTAGGCCTAATTTTTGGGCGTGGTTCTAAAGAAAATAGTATCCAAATGCACGCCATCGTGCATTCATTTGATTTTAGTCGGATTCAAAATAAATTTTTAACATTTAAAAAATCATAATGTGGTTTTTCTATTTCATTTTTTTATGATTAGGTTTACAGTATGTACTCATGTTTTATGTCAGTGTATTAACGTGAAAAAATTAAACATTAATATATATGTTTTTCTTAATTATTAAGATTGCTTAAATTGTTAATGTTACATTATTGTCAGATTTTATTCCATTCTGTAAGTGGCGGGTTTTCTCTGTTGAATAAGAGTACAGTGTGAAGAAATGAATACCGTACAACGATCTCACAACGATAATCAGAATTTTACTAAAATATACTTTGTACTTCATTTCAATCATATTAAAGAAAAATGATGCAAAAACTGAGTAATATTCCATTTTAATTATAAATAACTTGTCACCGAGTTGACTTGTGGCCGATCGAGAGTGGTAAGATCAGAAGTAGCATAATGATTGTTCGGTGAATTAAATCTTATTGGCGATGAGTTTAGGTCAATTGCAAGTATCTAGACTTTAACAGCGCTCCACCCAACTAGCATCAAACAATATATTGTATATAAAAATGCTTTTACTGACATAGAATATAATAATATGCAAGAATAAACCAAAGTAACTACCATATGTCTTTCAAACGCAGCATTTAGAAAGCATCCTCGACTCGGCCTTTTAGAATACAAAGCCAAATCTAAAACCACACGGAGACAATAAGCAAGGGAGTAGATTCAGACTTCTGTGTGACAAACATAAGAAATCCATTAGGGATAATGCAGTTGGTTTCCTGTTGCACAACATTTTAATTTGCCTAACCATTCCATTGATGACATTAAATTTGTAACGATAGCTACAGGCTTTAAATCTCTAACTGGTAGACGTACTGAACTACAATGGATCTTAATATTAAACACTCATAAATTTGGTATAAAATAATTAAAGATCTTGGATTCATTAACGAATACTCCGACACGAAATAAGTTTTTCTATGTTATATTATGCATATTTATATAATAATATATTTACATTTATAGTACATTTGTGTACACATGGTAGGATTAGACTACCCATTGTCACTATCAAGATATTTTTTTACTCTGTTGATTATATTATCGACATGTTTGTTATTTCTGTTGGCTCTTTGATATAGGCCATTTCACCGCGAAAATTGTTGTCTAATGTCACTGACAGTTTATTGGTTAATTGGTTACACTTCGCACTTGCTCATTAGGACATGTGACAGAAATATTCACTGAAGATGTGTATAAGAGACAGTGTACAAGTAACATATATAAATACATATATCAAAATATATGAAATAAATAAAAATATAAAAAAGTACATACATAAAAAAATATATATGAAAGTAATAATTATTTATGTTTTCTTTTTGAACTTTATTTTTGTTTAAAAGGAAATAGATGAAGTTCCACCATCTTTCACAGTGGTCCAACGATCTGGAAAATGCCTTGCATTGGAAAACAGTTGCAATGAAGCTAATTTTACGGTGGCAGTTGAAATAGTAGATGTTGGAACGGGTGTTTTTAACATCATTACTGCTAAGGAATCGGATTCATCTGGTCTTACATTATATGAGTTTACTCCAGGTATACCGGGCTCTATAGCCAGGGCTGACTACCGTGGCAGCTGTTGTCAACCGTCCTTAGAACTGATTGCTACAGACGTTGTCGGAAACGTAGGTAAATTCAAAGTCAACGTTTCATCAGAAGACACAAACACGATGCAGACAGACGACATGCTTCTTTATATTGTGATGATAAAATGTGGTATTGCAGTTTTGCTTGTTGTCATGTGTGCCTGCTGCTGCTGTGTTGTATATCACAGTAAAAATAAGTCGGGGAAACGAAAAAAAAATACTGAGATTGGGAAGAAAATACATCGTGAAGAAGTCACTCCAGACAAGTTGAACCCTCCTAGCTGTGTTCCAGACTTAGAGCGGTACAAAGAATTATACGCAACCGTGGAAACGAAAGACAAACATGCCAAATGATTGGTTAATACCAACATCACCAGAATCGACCTCCCACTTGAAGCCAATTGAAGGGAAGAATTTGAAGCAATTTAACCTTAAATCAGTCAAAAACAAAGAAAAAATAATAAAGCAGAGTGTAGCAATTCAAGATAAGCATAATGTAAAATCACATTAAGTATAGCATTAAAAATGGACTGAATGTAAATCTAAACAAGTTGTAGTAAGGTTATAGAAAATGTAATCAATTTTAATATAGGACATTATGAAAAGCTATTTCAAATGATTTTTTACAGTAGGTAATGTTACATTAGTGTAAATTTAGGCTACCAGAAGGATAAATCCACATAAGAATACTAGACCAGTTGCTCTAATGCATTCAATATTCTGAAGAACGCATCGTTGTGTATCGTTACTCTCCAAATGGGCTGTCGGAGATTCAGCCAATCAAATGTCGTCTAGCTGGATATCGGCTTAAATCACGCCCTCAATTTAATATAAAAGGTTTAAACACATTTTGCACGGCGATAGTTGCTAACTACAACGGGTTCAGCCGAGGGGCGTGGCTTGTATGGTCACACGTCATGTATAATTATACCGTCTACCTAAACCATAATGACCAGACGTGCATAATTACGCTTTTTGGCATAATTTAGACCCGTTTAGCATCTAGCATATGTGCTGGCATAGTTTTGGCAAATTTAGCATAATATAGCGTAATTTTGTCTCACAAAAAAAAATGGTCATAATTAAAACCCAACAAAATTGGATACCAGGTCAATTAAAATTACTTCATCCAAAAATCCTTGCTTTTGTCAATATTTATTATTAGGCCTACCCAATCACATTGGCCAGAGGCAGGAAGGCGCATTTCCGAGCATCATAAAATAAAAACATTCCAGTGAAGGGTCACTGACACCCCTCCAAATTACTTTACCACATCATCAAGTCTGTTTTTTTTTTCTTTTTGACTTTATCCTGCACCTCGACTACAGAACCTTTTAATCCTCTGTCAGGTATGTACCTGAACATTTTTTTAATTAACTGTATAAATGGGCGCGAATATGATGTTGTGCCATGACACAACTGTTTGATTTTTTAAAGAAATCGAGAGGAATTAAACAAATTTTGTTGATGCTTTATTTTGACTATGATGGTACTATATCCCTGGTTCTTAATTAATTTGTTTTGAACGATTCACTTATTTGAGCGATTCATTGACAGAAATATTCACTGACAAAGCGATTCACTGAAACATAGATAGAACAAATATTCACCTTTATGTGAATAGCATTGTGTAATCAACATAGCAAACATTATGATTAAACATTGCATTCCATTATCATTAAAATAACAAATAATCAGTAATTAGTCCTAGAGAAAATGGTTAATTAATCTAGCTTTCCTTTTACACTGAATTATCAATAATCCTAATGCTAGAATAATTCTCATGAATATTCATGGTAGTATGGCAACCAGATAGTACAACTGACTGGCCGCATCTCGCTATGCGATCGAATAGCGAGCGAAGAAATTCCAAGAGTCATAGCCAACTTTAATTAGTTCTAAATCTAACGACACTTTGAGATATGAATGCAACATATTAACAGTAGATTAACAACATGTTCTAAAGTCATGAAACTGTATATACTGTACGTAACTAGCACCACCAGCACAGCGCTGGCTCGACATGCACCGCTCTCGGCGTGTACACATATCTCAGCCGGTATACAGTCCTAGGCTAGTACTAACACATCACAATTATTAGCTGTGCAGGCCTACATATTAGCGTCCCCCTCCCCCACTTTTCAAACTGTCTCTTATACACATCTGCATAATATAGCGTAATTTTGTCTCACAAAAAAAAATGGTCATAATTAAAACCCAACAAAATTGGATACCAGGTCAATTAAAATTACTTCATCCAAAAATCCTTGCTTTTGTCAATATTTATTATTAGGCCTACCCACAATTGTTTATACATTTCGTAACCATCTCAGAAACCACTAGATCGATTTTTTATGGGTGCAACGGTTATCAGAGGCTAAATTTATTGTGAAAACAATGTACTGAACGTTGTTAAAATTGGAAGCGTGTATACTTATTAGGCCAATATTCAACTCAAAAGTGCACAATTTCTACTATAAACGATTTATTCCTTTTGTATATTATTATGACCTGTACATTATGCTAATGTTTAATATTATCTACATACATAGGATTACTGTTTTTCCTAATCTCAAAAAATTATAGTTAGTCAATTGAATTTTATATAGCCATTAAGAAACAATAATTATACAGCCTTTGACACGGATGGTATTTCGATTAAGTGATAGGCCCACCAAAAGTTTAAAAACTCCAGTGTTACGTTGACGCAGTCTCGCAATGACGTCATAATAATCAGTGGTGGATTCAAGTGGGGCCGAGCCGACCCTAAATTTTTCAAAATTATTTTAAAAAATGGAAAAAACAAAGGAAAAATTATAATTAGAATCTAGGTCTGAGAGTGCCATTTCCGGCAATCTAGAGGTGTCATAATCTTAAATTTTCTTTCACCTCAGCCCCACCATGGTTGGGGCTTAGGTGATCTACTTTCCCAAGTTGTGCAAGTCTCTCCCTGTCCCCCCTCTAATTTGCTTTCCTGGAGCCGCCACTGAAAATGAAAAATTAAGTAAATCACCTTTATGTTTGTGAAATCAAAATGATAACTAATGTTTTGTGTGCTCCCTCTCTAGTCCTGTTTGATCGTAAATATTTCTTAGACGGTATTATTTTCACTCATAATAGTGTAGTCGCAATATTACTTACACAAAAGTGAAATTCAAAAAAAGGAGAAAAGCAAAAACCTGATTGATTTTAAAAGTACTGTACATGCAAAAAGACTAAATTAATCACTGTTTTAAGTTTATCTTATTGTTTTTTATGGTTCGAATTTTGAATACGTTACAAGCTAATCAGTAGATAATAAATCATTATTTTTATGAAGGTTAGTTTGCACGAAATACGTAAGCGGGCATATTTATTACCTAAAGGATAATTTTAAAAACTTTTTTATGATGAGTATTTCAGTGGCAGATTCAAGGGGCCCAGCCGGCCCACCATCACTAATTCTTCTTTTTTTTCGAAATTAAAAGTGGACACAAAATTAAAATTATATTCAAATTCAGTCTGAGAGGGCCATTTTCGACCAACTAGAGGTGCCATAATCATACATTTTCTTACCTAAGCCCCAACCATTGGGGCTGAGGTGGTCTACACTCTCCATCTGTAAAAGTTCCTCTCTGGGCCCAGCTCTATTTCAAATTACTGGATCCACCACTGGATATTTTGAAAATTTCGTATGGAAATAAATGTTAATTGCATTGATAAAATCAATTAAATGGGTATATGCACCGGAGCTTCCGGGGGCTTCGCCCCCTAGTCCCCAACCAAGGCTCATTTTTCATTTCGTCCTCCCCCCCCCCCCCCCCCCCGCTTTCAACCACGGATCGACGCCCTTGTCAAAAAGTACCGCCATGACTTCTCTTCTTCCAGAGCCGTAGATAGAGAGAGTTTGGCCAACTCGGTTTCACGGGATTCTGCTATACGCCTGTGATTGGGTGGATCGCAATCACATGACTTACACCGGCCATGTCGTTACCAAAGCGTATATAAAACATTGGCGAGCCACAAACTAACGCGATAGGATAGGGAGTTAGCAGTTTATGATAGATGATTAATGCTATATATTGTGAAATACGTCCGTTATGTTCGGTTTGGGGTTGCTGCAATCGATCCAACAAAGGAACAAAAATGTATCAATTTCCTTAAATTTCAAAAAGGAGGAGGATTTGGATTTTATTTAAAATTTGAATGGCGATCGAAAAATCTTGCTATCCACGTAGTAAATTAAGGCATGTGCCGCGGCGGCCACCCCACTTCGCGGTAAATCCGCCTACTACCACTAGGCCTAGGCCTAGATTTCAGTACTTCTTCGGCCTAACACCATAAGGTTGTACATAAATCGGCCTATAATACTATAAATATAATTACAATGATAATAATAAAAAGGAAGGATTTTTAAAGCAGCAATAATATTTCTAAGAGATAAAATGTTGCACTTCTTAATTTCCAGAAAGCTACATGAAGTATTAGTCAAAGATCTACCCAGCAAACAATTTTACGTTAATATATCATTATAAAAACGTATGACTTTGGTTCTGAAAACATTTTAATACGTTTTGAAAACGTAATTTTGTGGAGTTTTGAAAGCGTTTGAATAACTTTTTGATGTAACGTTGTAAAAAATTTATTATAACGTAAAAATAACTTTAGTTGCATTTACTTTGGTCTTGTAACACGTTTTTAAGACGTTTCAAAAACGTTTTAAAAACATTTACAAATGGTTTTCATTTTGTTCGAAAAACGTTCCAATAATTACGTTTTAAAATCGTAATTATTTGGAGTTTTGAAAGCGTTTTAATAACGTTTCATTGTAACGTTCAAAACACGTCATGATAACGTAAAACTAACTTTAGTTACATTGACTTTTCTTTATTTAAAAAAGGTTTCAAAACGTTCCCAAGGGGCTTTTTGTATGTTTAAGTGATGTTTCATGCGACATTGTAAAAACAAACAACTTTTGAGTTGGATTGGTGTTTCATGACGTTTAAAAAACGTGAACAAAACGTTTTAAAAACCTGAAGGGCATGTTAAAACGCTGCTGGTGGGGTCACTCATGCGCAAAATCGTGGTTTTCCTTGATCGCATTTTGGTCATTTCAACTACATCGTGTTAGTTGTGATTCTTCAGGATATAGATACAAGAGAACAATGTGAGCAGTGCAGTTCCCCTTTTACCTTGTTATACACTTTACTCAAGACACGGTAGAAAATCACTTATAATCTTTCTTTCTTTATTCCATTTCTAACTTCGAAAAAAAATACAAAACTATGACATGGTATCCAGCACATTCATGAACGTCATTAAAATGCTGCCCATCATTACTTTAACTACATATTTCTATGCTGCACCTAAAGCTTAAACATAGCCTGAGCCAATTATCAAATATTTAATTAAACACATTCTGATGCCTTCATCGCCAACATTCTCTGGTTTCAGTAAAAATTGAACAAATATATATGCTGCACATGAGCTTAAATATAGCCCAAGCCACTTATGAAAAACTGAATTCAACACATTCACATCATGTTGTCATCGACCATGTAGTCGTCGTCGTCACCATCATCTCTGATATCTTCATCGCCAGCATTTCTGTAAGAAATGAACAAGTTCTAATATATTTAGGAAAGATTCATCCACATTTTTACAACAATTTGTAAATTGCAAGATTATTTACAGGCTGATAAATCTCACCATAGAATGCTCTGATATTCCGAGGGGTACATAAAGGTTAGTTATTCCTGAAATTGCTTTTTCTCAAGATATCGACATCTATACTTTTTTATTGTTCTGTGTATGGTCGGTTGGGGGGAGGGGGGTGCCGAGTGGTTAGAAAGTTTAGTGAATGTTGGTTAGTGGTTAGTGGACTTGGGTGAGGTATTCATGCATAAGTGTAAAGATAATATTTTTCATTTTATTTAAGGTCTTATCTTAAAATGTGTAAAAAGTGTTTCTTTTTCCCAACTACTTTGTTGTTTTTATAATTAATCATATTTAGTACCTCATTATTATATTGTTCTTTTCTTTTCCCATCTTCGTTATAAGGTGTATTATTAAATTCTTATAATTAGATGATTTATAACTACACTCTTAGCATGCCTAGTCAATTCGACTACTGGCTACTAGTGTTTTCCGAGTAAAT